GGTACTACACTCATGCATAAAGTGCTTACAGCGACATTAGTAATGTGATCGTCTAGTGGTTTGTTTAATAGTGATTACTTGCGTTTGCAATATATATAACAGTAAACTCATAAAAATACACAAACCATTTAGAAATACATATATACCTATAAGTACACTATGACAGATTCAACAAGTAAATATTCCGTATTTAAAGAGACTTAAAATTTTACTTAGCCGGCATACATTGAGGCACAACGTACACATAAATTTAGTTCGTTCGAAAGTGTTTAAAATTTTCATACTAGTTTCCTTTATTACTATACTTTTGTTTTACGTTATTGTGTAATATGAATAATTAAAAGCTTAGATATACATAATCGTTAATAAATCAAGTTTCTGTTATTAAATTTTCAATTTAAAGCCCGTCAGCAATATGATATTATATTGGTCATTTAGTGGTAGATTTTAATTTTCAAACGACACCTTAATTACTGTTCTTGGTTTCTTAGACCTACTACTAGAAAAATACTTGAAACATTTTTCACCAACAGCAATACTTCATTGCTGTTGTGACAAAATCAATACAATTTAGAAAATTATTTGCTTGAATTGTTTATATCTCAGCTTCAAAAGTATCACCAAGGTTAACAAAAATACATTGACTTTCACATGAGAGTGGGTAAAAAAACCGAATATTTTTTTTCCTTGATACACTGAAAAATAGGTTCTTAGACTCCTCTAAGAAAGCCTCTCTAAGTATGAGCTCTTATTTGAACGGAAAGACTCTCCGCTTTACCATTTTTAATTTTTTTCGTATTATCAGATAGAAAAACTCATAACTCGCTTCAAACTACTTGAAAAATATCTCGTTTCATGGATTTTGTTGGAAATTGAATGCTCTACAAAATGGTCTTATACGATTTTTTCCTAAATCTAACTATTTAAAAGATATTAACGGTTAAAATTTGATTAAATTAAAGCAATTTTATTTTTTTATTTTTTAATAACGCAATGAAAAAATTCCATTATAAATCGGAAAGATATAGTTCATCATAGTTTTGTAGGAAATTTACTGCCCTACAAGAAAGGCCTCGTAAAATTTTTCAATTAAGTTAAGCGTTTACGAGATATTCGTCGACAAACATTAATGTATATCATATATGTCTATACATATATTTTTTTTTGGGCGGTGTTTTCTTAATTATAAGAAACCATTGGTTGATTGAAAACTCGGTTGCGTTTTCGTTTTTGGTTGGTTAACCAATATAAAGGGTGTTTTTTTTTAGAGGTATAGAACTTTAAATTGCAATAAAACAACGATGGATTATTCGATTGACATGAAATTTTATTTATCCGAAAGATAATCTTGTGGCATTACAGTTTAAATATGATTTCTGACATATGACCGCCACGACTGGCTCGGATGTAAGCCAATCTGGACGTCCAATTTTCGATGACTTTTTCCAACATTTTTTCTTCCAAATAGTTAAGCGTTAGTGGCTTATGCGCATAGACCAATGACTTCACATAACCCCACAGAAAATAGTCGGCCGAACAGGTTCAAAACGTGAAATTAGGCGGTTACCAAACGTGTCTTTGAATAAATCGATGTTGGCACGAGCTGTGTCGTCTTGTTGGAACAGCTCCTGGACATCATGGTTGTTCAATTCAGGAATGAAAAAGTTAGTAATCATGACTCTATATCGATCACCATTGACTGTAACGTTCTGGCCATCATCGTTTTTGAAGAAGTACGGACCATTGATAAAGCGTACCAAATAGTCAGTTTTTCTGGATGTAACGGAAAGAAAACACCTGATATATATTATATTATGTTTTTTTTGCATCAGTTGTTTCCTATTTAATATAACATAGTGTACAGTTATATTACATACATTTCATCTGAGTTGAGTTGCGGGAAGACGATTTCTAAAAAATTAGTCCTTTTACAAAAAAGTGTTATGTCGATACAAGAAGAGGGTTTTTCTGACGGTGTTAAACATGCAAAAACCTCCTTTAAGATTATATAATTTTAGATTTTAATGCTGAACACTTGCTGCTTAGGCTATTAATTTTGATTGCAGGTAGTTCGTTAGTATGGTTGTGAGTTCAAACGTGTTTTAATCTTAGTCTTGCATGACCTGAACTGCCAGAAGTTAGTGCTTAGTTGATCTTAACTCGCCTGCTGCAAAAAAGTTTTCAAAAATCAAAATATGGTTTCATGCCTCACAGCATGGCTTTTGAGCACTGAACAACGACCGCTCAAAACCGCTACAACTGAGGAACTAACCCTGCTTTTGTTTTGAAAACACAAAAAACCAATAAAAAGTAGTAGCTCAGTTAAATATTAAGCAAAATTGTAATTGTTTTTACATTATTAGTAAACTATTATACGATTTCTGTTATAATTAAGATTACATGCCAAAGTCAGGATGTCAAAGCAAGCACGTATGCGTATACTCATACTCTAATACTACTTGTAGTTTAACCAAAATAATTGTGAGTTTTTAGCCGACTAAATCTAACCTAACTGACATAATCCATAGATTTTATATAAAATATACATATATATATAAATACATAAATATATGTATAAAGGTGTGTGACAATGTGTCATATACTTCAAATGTACAGTAAATTAAGCAGAAATACAGTAGGATTGAACAACGGATGCACGACAGGCGCAAGACTCATTTGGTTAACATACTCATACATCAACACCAGCAGCGTCATTGTGAAAATTATATGCTAACTGACACTGCATTTTACTGCAATGTTGGCTCGTGTATGTGCAAAATTGCTAAGCACACGCAACACCTATAATATATTGATTCGTATATACATACATACATAAACATGTACGTATAGATATATATTATATTTATAAAGCAAGCGCGTGCTCTTGATGTGCGACTAAGACGAGAAATTGCAGAAAAATTAAATTAATATGGCAAAGTGCTTTACTTCCAGTGTAATAAACAATCTGGTTGCTATGGCTGAATGATTGAATTCTAGATAATTTCTATCAATAGTTTCCGTATTGTAGTAAACATACAAATATACATAATAATATATAATTAATACGATTATATTGTAATATACCATACATACATATGTGTAGTATAATTATAAGCACTTTACTAGGCGAATTCCTAGAAGCAATTACTAATTAATGTTTCCATTATAAGCTTTTAAATGCACAATAAGACATTAAATAAGTGTAAGTATATACACATATGTTCTACATATATATATACATTTCATCACTATTCACCTAAATATTAGGCTCAACAACTTAATATTTTATATGCCGTTCTCATTATAAATATTTTAACAATATATATCAACTTGTAACGAAAAACTTTTAATAACTGAGACGAAACCAGTATTTAACTTAAATAATTAAATATGCATATACCTACAGATATGTATGTCTGGTACATAAAGTAAACTCTTCCATGCGTTTTTGTGGCGCTCTGATAACCTTTACACACTATATTTGGTGTAACTAAGTCTTTCACATACATATATGGTATATCCTTTTATATACATACGCGTATATATTAGGGTGAGTAAAAAAAAAATTTTAAAATTTTTTGCTTGGGAAAGCAGTAAATTTCGTACAAAACTATGAGCTTTCCGATTTATAACTTTTTTTCCTTGAGTTATAAAATTCAAAAAAAAAAATGTTTGTCTTAAAAAGTCGTAAGAGAAGTTTTTGTAGAGCAATTTATTTTCATACAAAATCAATGTAACGAGATATTTTTCCAATAGCTGAAAGCGCGATATGAAATTGTCTATCTGCTAATGAGCAAACAATGGAAAACTGTTCAGCGGAGGACCTTCACGTTGCAGTGAAGAGTTCATAATTGGAGAGACTTTCTTAAAGGTGTCTAAGAACATATTTTACAGTGTACCAAGCGAAAAAAATAAATTTATGCTTTTAGACACACCCTAACATATATATTGATACATATATACCATAGTAAATGTATACAGATTGTTTTTGTTTTTCTAATTTGCTATATGTATCGGCAATGCTGCTCTCTAGCTCACTTACACAAACTCAAGTTTATTAGAAATTTTTTTTTTATTTTGCATTAAACCCTATTTTAAAACTGGATGGCCAGAAAAATAAATTTAAAACACGACGATTTCATACTGCCTTTTTTACTTATTAAAAACATATAAATGTAAATATATAAAAAATAAATTTATTCGCAGTAATAAGTATTTTGTGAGCAAATTTGATTTGGTCACACACTTCACTAAAGGATTGTATATATTAATTGCAAGTGTATTTATAAAATTATGCAAAGTAATTCTAGTGAAATCTAAACAATTCCGATTGCTATTTTATTCGTATAATACTATGGAAATACATATAGCAAATTGTTGATCTCTATTAAAAACAGTTTATAAATTAGTTGTAAATATATTTATATTATTGTGTTAAAATAGTAAACTTAAAATTAAACGTTAATCTATTAAGCCTAAATATTTAAGTAGCATTTTCGAAATAAGTGTCTGATTAACAATTGATTGTTGATGAACAATCGATTGCACTACGATGAATGTGAAACTGATGTATGAAGCCATGTAAATTTAAATACATTCCAACACCATGAAAATTTATTACACTTAAGCTAAATGCATTGTGGTAATTAAGTGTTTACTGAGCTAATAGTTTCCAATTAATCCATTAAATGCTTCAAAATCAAATCATATGGAAATGGACGGTTCTATGTGTGTATTCTGCCTTAAATTTATTATGTAGCGTATTTGAAATAGTTTAATATGAGATTAACATCCTTTCTAGCTTTCAAATTAGGGATCAAATCAGCCAGCTTAAAGGCTTCGTTTTATAATATACTATGTATACGCATGTAAATATATAAAATCATGCCACATATAACATAAATATATATATACTTTACAAGCGTTTCTACAAGTACATATAAACTTAGATTTATTGACTATACTTAGCTAGTCCGGCGAATTGTTAAGATTTTAATTACCTGTCAACAGTGAGTATATGACCATCACGCACGCGCACCCAGGACACTGATTTGTTGCCGAGCTGCTTCACCTTAAGGCAATGCAATGAAAAAGAAAGGTAATTGGAAAACATGTTAGTTCATATGACTGTCAATTTGGGCTGTGGGAAAATAATAAATATAGTGCTGTTAAAGGTAGAAAAGCTTAAGTTTAAATTATAAGTTTTTCATTGGAAACAATGAACCTTCGTTTATGCTGGCAAACATTATAAGAACATGTTTCGTAGCAAGCCAATACATTTTTTTTAACAAAGTCCAGCGGTAATTTTTCTTAGACTTTTAAATAAATAACGTTTTAACAAATAAATTTGTGTCTCTATTTGATCATCTATCTTTTCTTTAGAATGAAAAACGCTTAAAACTTTTTATATATTAATTTCTATACCCTAAACGTATTAAAAATCGTATTAAGTATGCTAAGAAGTTTGTAACACCCATAAGGTAACGCCGGCGACGCTATAAAATCTATCTGTGCGTATATACGCGAATAAGTCCTTCAGTTTTTGAGATATCGAACTAAAATATTGCACATGTTCTTTTCTCTCCAGGAAACTGATCATGTGTAGATGTAGATCTGATGTGTCAGAACGGCCGATATCGGATCGTTATAGCAAATAGCTGCCATACAAACTGAACGATCAGAATCAAGTGCTGTATGGAAAACTTTTGGATTTGATTGGATCACTACGGCATAGAACTGCCATACAAGTTGAACAATCGGAATCAATGTCATGTAGGAGTCTTTTACGTTTATTTGTTTTATTTTTTTTTTATTTATCGACAAGTTCATCATTTTGTACAAAAATTCACATTTGTTTTAATTTTTAAATCTTTAAATCGGATAAACAATAAATTATATAATTATACTTTAGTTTAACTCTTGTCTCTCTCTCCCTTATTACAAGTACCAGTTGAAGGAGATTATAAAATAGTTTACGCACAAGAAACTTATTTCCGTACAAAATATTATCACTATCATTAACATTTTGTGCTTTTTTAATACAAAGAAATTGTAACAAAATTCTTGTTAAATAATTCTTTTTACCTTTGCTTCAAAGTCACCTCCGAACGAGTATTACGGATAGCAGCTCTCATGTTAGAAATGGAAAAGTAAGTGTGATATTAACTACCGAGGATTGACTGTCGAAAAAAATACCTTTCTTTTACGTTTGGACTTTGGACCTTGAGTTGAATCTACTGGCAAGGGCGTGATAATAATGCACTCAGGCCACTTAAATACAGTATCGTCGTTGTATTATCAAATAAAAGGCATTACTACATACTTGTATGAAATATTACTCAAGCCAACTTAAGCGCTTTTCAATTTTAACTCAAATTTCTGACTAAAATATGCTCAACACCAGTACAATTTATACATACTACTTCGCCTATTTAGGCATTACATTATAGTGCAGGGTTTGTTTTACGCTCAACACTTTTACACTAACAAAGCAGTAATTTCGAAATAATTTTCGTGCCAATCACGCCCACTCTACACAAGTATGTATGTACATGTGCATGTATAATGGATATACAGCGTTGTTTTTAATGGACCGTTGGCTTCACGAGAGTTTACTGGACACTCAATTAACCGGCTGTTGACTAAAGCCGTCTATATATTATGTAAGCATGTCAACCCATGAGCGAGCCACACCTGCGCACATATATGTAAGCATAATTATATACATGTGTATGTATGTGTGGGTGCCGTCGCTTGTGTAGTTCTATGTTATTGTGTGCTATTTGTAAATTATTGCAGGTGCTGTTGCATATGTTATAATTCACACACACACAACAACAAAAACAACTACAACAATAATAAGAGCGGCAATATCCCCTGCATTGACTTTGCCTAGTTGGCCTACTCCTTATATCGATTCATTATTTTCTGCCAGCGAGCCCATAATTTACAATAGCTCTCCATCTCTCATGTTGTTGTAAACCAACATATAATAATCTATACCATATATACCATGCATACAGGCTATATATATACACGCGCATTGAAGTTAATCTTCTTTGACTTAACTCAACTTTGATCCCTGTTTTGTACATTTGACATCGGAGTAAATTACTGGCTTCGGATTTTGAATAATGAGTCAACGTGCGTAACAGTGATTTACTGTTATCCGAGTTCAGTGGGCCTAAGGCCGAAATGAAATGGCCAACATTGATAGGTTAAACTTTTTCTTTCATATAATTATTATATGCACAAGCATAATACAAGCGTATTACATAACTGAATTAAAATTAAGCTGAAATTACTGTAAATACAAAAGGCAGATTATTTATTGTAATTAGTGTTCATAAAGATGTGACAATAATAATGAGATGCCATTATTTCACGATTAAACTCTTACTTCCACTTAAAGCGAGCAAAAGTCATTACAATATTGTACATACATTTACTTATATTTATTTATAATAAGTAATATAAATGTTAATATTGTGTGAGTAATGTGCGCCAGTGTCATGCTATTTTACGATATAAGGACCTTAGAACATTAAACAAAACCTAGTTTCAATTTTTCGATTCGCTTTTAAGCATTTCCGCTCGTTTAAATATAAATAGCTGTAACGCACTTTGAAATGCACACAACAAACACAGAAGAACTGTAAGGTAAACCAACATGAAAATGCAATTAAAAGCTTAAATTGCGTTAAACGCGCTACCAAGTGCAACCATACCGCACAAACACCGTTTTGAAAAAGACCCTGTAAGAATAATTTTCATTCAATACGAAATTGTAAATAAGTACCACTGTGTTCTGCTGCCTCTTAATTTTTTGGCGATGAAGCTCCGTCAGGAACAAGTTTTTATCAATGATATAGTGAATTCAACTGAGATCGTAGATCAATCCAAGATTTTAAACAATCTTGAGTGTCATTTCCATGGACTAGAGAATGAATATTCTTAAGCTTGTTTCGAGTGTCTTGATTTAAGTTTAGAATGGTTGCTTTCAAACAAAATACCGATTGAGAATAGGTTACTGATGTTCGTTCCCTGTACTGGGTATATTAAGTTTGCCACGAAGTTTGTAACAACCAGAAGGAAACCTGAGAAATCATATAAAGTATGTATGTGGTATGTATAAATGATGAGCCTGACGAGCTTAGTGATTTTAGTCACATCTGTCTGTTCGTCTATTTGCTGTATATACACGAACTAGCTTTTGAGGTTTTTGAGATCACGATCTCAAATTTGGCACACGTACTTTTCTCGCCAATAAGCCGCTCATTTATTGGAAGCGTTTTTGTAATTGTTTGAAAATTATCAGAATGTTTTTTTTTTTTATTTTTTTCATTTATTTATTTAAAGATATTTCCTTTTTAAGTAATCTAAAGAAATATTATCTATCTATCTATCATATCTATGCCATACCTCTCACTACTATATTTCTCTTTGATGCTTGTATTGTAATTCCAGCAGGTCACGCTTGCCAACAATGCCTAGAAGGGCACAACTTGAAAACAAACGCTTGCACGAGTCTATCAAATTTAAGTTCCGAGCAAGAGATATGTATATGTATTTTCCTAACTCACTATGCAATTAAACAATCACTGCTACCGCATGCAAGTTTTCCCCAGCACCACCTCCGCAACAACCAAGCCATAAAGCGTTTGAAGTTTGCTGAATGTTCCTACTCATGGTAAGCCTGAAATTAAATATGCCTATTTGTTGTTGCAACTGCACAGCGTGCTTACACATTTACATACATATACATACATACAAATATTCATACGAGTAAAAACGTAGCAGTGAACGAGTGCTTTCTGCCTGGTTGCTGTGATGCTTGCGCATACAGCACTTGCAGCGAATCACTTGCCATTGTAATCACTTTGTCTAATTAGCGGCTGCAAAAGTGGCTAAAATTGTTAATTTGAATAATACTAATCGAAATTAGCCTATACTGTCGTGAACGAATGAATATTCAATGTCGGCTTGATAGGGCCGTTCGTCGGTGGCGTGCCCGGCAAGGCTTGCACTAACAACCGTTACTAACACAGTTACGACAAACATAACCACATTTGAGAATTGGCTTAATTGATGTAGATTTGTATGCGTTGAAGTGGTCTCATTTAGCCTCATTCGAATTCTAGCGCAAATGATGGTCTTTAAATTGGAAATGTTGAGCGCTTAATTATTGAGGCATATTCTTTGTTAGAGCTATTCGAACAATTGCATAGCAGAAGCAATTTAACAGTTACATTGTGTAGAATTAAATGACATTAGGGTTGGTTTTTGTTGCAAAGTAACGTGGAATGTTCGATAATTGTGTTTAAGAAGTACAAAGTGAAAGTGTTTTGGTTGTTTAGTGGATTATAGAATTTGCTGATAATACAAAAGGCCAAAGTTTTGGCATTTTCTCTCGAAGAACTTCTTCTTCTTTCTTAATACATAAATATTATTTCATATACCTTGGTACTCTTTTAAATAATCAGGTTAAACAGTTGTTACAGTTGTACAAGTATATATATAAACATTTAAAAAAGGTAATGGGAATAAAATTTTAAGCAAATAGTGCTTTTGAGGTATGTTACACAGTCCACAGACACCGAACATGTGGACCTCAGTGTCTATATCTGAGTTTATACTAAAAGCATCAGTAAAACTCTTAGCTATACGTGTGATTGAAATACAGAGCGAATCTACAATAATACATAATGATTTTCGTATATAATACAAATATATAATAGTATTTTTTCTTAAGCACGGTTGCGATTTTTTTATTCAAAAATTTGAGATTAAAAATTAAATTTTAATTTTTTAAACCATGATTTTTGAGATTAAAAATTGAAAATTGAAACGCGAAAAAATTTTAATTCTAAAGCAAATTATTTTTTTGAATCTTAATTATATGCTTAAGATTAAAATTTTCCTTTTTTATTTTCCATTCCACTAGTTGGGATTAAATTTTTTTTGTTTTTAATGCGGTATGCGTAATAAATTTTTTTTTTTTTAATTTTAATCACGTAATTGGGGTTACAAAATAAAAAAATATTTAACTCAAATGTTAATTCAATTATTATT